CTCAAAAAGGATATTATAGCATTGGGGAAAGTGCAGAAAAGGGCAGCTAGAATGATAAAAGGGTTGGCACACTTTCCCTATGAAGAAAGGTTAAAGCGCTTGGGGCTCTTTAGCTTGGAGAAATGATGGCTGAGGGGTGACATGATCGAGGTTTATAAGATTATGCGTGGGATAGAGCAGGTAGAGAAAGAAGTACTTTTCTCCCTTTCTCACAATACAAGAACTCATGGGCACTCAATGAAATCGCTGAGCAGTTGGGTTAGAACAGAAAAAAGGATGTACTTCTTCACCCAAAGAGTGATTAACACATGGAATTCGCTGCTACAGGAGGTGGTGGTGGCTACAAGCATGGACAGCTTCAAGAGGGAATTAGATAAACATATGGAGCAGAGGTCCATCAGTGGCTCTTAGCCACAAGGTATAGATAGGAACTCTCAGGCTGGGGCAAGTGATGCACTGTATTCTTGGTGCTTGGGGGGAGCAACAGTGGGAGGGCTTCTAGTGTCCTGGCCCCACTGCTGGACCTCCTGATGGCACATGATATTTTTGGCCACTGTGTGACAGAGTGTTGGACTGGATGGGCCATTGGTCTGATCCAACATTGGCTTCTCTTATGTTCTTATGAGAATATATGTGATGTCTAAACTGATTCCTCGGGTTTAATTGATCTCAGCCTCCCCCATTTTATTTCTCTTTTAGGAGCTGTGATTGGAGACGGACAGTCTGCTGTGGCCAGCAATATTGCCAACACCACCTACCGGCTTCAGTGGTGGGATTTCACCAAATTTGACTTACCTGAAGGTTCAGTTGATCTCAGACTCCCCCATTTTATTTCTCTTCTAGGAGCTGTGATTGGAGATGGACAGTCTGCTGTGGCCAGCAACATTGCCAACACCACCTACCGGCTTCAGTGGTGGGATTTCACCAAATTTGACTTACCTGAAATAAGCAATGGTAAGCTAGAAAGGGAGCTAGTACCTTCCCCAAATTTCAGATGCAACTTTTTATGCAGGAGGAGAGAAGATTGCTGTGCACGTAGTTAATACCATTTGGATCTCAGTCTATACGTTTCCCATGAAGTTTTGAGATAAAGGGGTGAACCTCTCTCACAGGCCATCCTTTTACTGTAGCTGTTATTTTTCAGTCTCTGCTTTTGCTTTGGTATCTTTGGAGGAGCTGGGGCACTGATCATTCTTCTTTCCTAGAGTTTTATATACATTAAGGACAAAGGGGGAGTGAGAGGGCACCATAGTGCCAAATAGCCAGTCAGATTTGCCTCAGTGATAACATCACTCAAAGCCACTGTTTTGCCCTCAATTTAAATTACCTGTAGTGTAAAGAGAGAAGGGAAGGAAACAGCTTTGTTACCAAGGCAACTGCACTTATACAACAGTGGGAATGTTCTTAGTCTTACCAAGTGTTGGTTTCATTCCATATCACGGCAAGATGGGCATTGTCCCATGTGGACTGTAATACAAAAAAGTAGACCTTGTAAGAAAAGTCAGCCCTCCTTTAATTTAAAGGGTAGATGACTTTTAATAAATATGTTATCTTCCTACTTCTCAGGGAGGTTTTTCTTAACTCTTCATGGCAGTTAACACTGTAGCATCTTGTGTGCTTGCCTTCACACCTGAATTGCTGTATGCAAGAACCTTGGTTGCTTGAATAAGTCTAGAGTGCAGAGTAGTCAGTACTTCTGGTGAGAAGAGAGATTTTCACCATCATCATAATACTCTATAACACAGTTTAGGGTCACAAGGAAAATTTTCTTCCCTTTTGGTTTCGGTTCATTTTATGCTTTTCTGTATCATTTTAGAGCTATGTTAAAGCCGCTCTTAATAGGCTCAACATGCTTTCTAAAAATAAGTTATTGATCTTTCTGCAGGCTGTTTATAAATTATAAGTTCCAAACCACAGGAAAATAATTTGCTTCTTGAAGTACCATTTCATGTTTTTAACTCTTTGTTTTCAGGACATGTCTACTAAAAATAATTGAGGCGTGACTAAATGTGGATTTACACAGTTTTTAATAAAGTGTTACTACAATCTACACCTTGTGTCTCATGATGCCTCACACTGGTTGATTCCCTTTTGGGCATTAGTAAGAGACTTGTAGCTAGATATGCAGTAGAGGTTTGGAATCAAACTAAGAAAAAGCTCAGAAGACAAGAATGACAAATGGACATTAAACAAGTACAAAATGTTTACAGGCTGCTCCCCTTTGCAGTTTAGAGATCGGAGAGGTTAGATTTTATTCTTCAAGTGCCTAGTCTTCTTTTTGCTTGCCTTCATTTTATTTAAGCTTGAAATTTATGTTATATTTTATCCCTTGTCATGCTCAGCATTTCCTCTAGGTATTACAGGTTGTCAGAAAATCAGATGTCAGACATAAAACTGATTTATAGAACTAGGTCACACAGCTTTTGCTTCCTTTGCCAGCCTACATGTAGAATATTTAGTGCAGTGGAGTCTCATTTCAGTTAAAGAATAGTCAAGCCTTTGTAACCAAAGCTAATGACTTCTGTCTGAAATAGTGAAATCAGGGATCTACAAATGTATGGAATTTTCTGGGTTCAACTCACTTCAGCCATAGTATAACAGTACATTCTTGGCAGATAAAACAAATTTATTAGGAAAATATATATGCTGTCTCTCCAGAGAACCTGGTCAAGGGGGCTTACAAAATAAATCATGATAAAAATCATAAAACAGTATTAAGATTATTAAAAATTAACAAACTGTTAAAATCCAGCCATTAAAAACCTAGTCAGAGCATAAAAACAGCAATTTGGCTTTTAAAAATGGTTCTCCTAAACAGGCCTCGTTTCCTGCTGGAGTGCACTGGAGTGACGCTCCTGCAGGAAGGAGCCCAGGGGGCAGGCACATGCACTTCAAAGGGGGTCAGGTTAACAATGTTTTCAGTGGGTCCTTTGTATAAGTATCCAACAGTGCCATCCTAAGCAGGTCTAAACACTGGGGCTTATTCCCAGGAAAGCGTCCTTAGGATAGCACACTAAATGGGATGCCTCTGGGGAGAGTGGGTGAGAAAGTTCAGAAGACCTCCTTTCTCTTCAAGAACAGATTCTGTGGGCTTGTATCTTGAGGTGTAGGTAAGCCAAGGAAAAAATGCCTGCGCAGGAGATTTCAGTGCCTGTAGGAAGGGGAAGATACAATCTGTCTTCCAGCATTGTACAGTTGTGCAGGCAGGCAGGGGTACAGCACAGTCTGTGCATGGGTGGTGTGCATGTCCTGGGTATCTTAAGTCTACTTGAAACCTGGTGGTTTCAAGGGAGCAGGAAGAGAAATGAGGGTGTGTTCTTTAAGCCTGTTTTTATTCCACAAAGTATTGGATGGGGAAGGGAATGGAGGTAGAGTGGGTCAGTTTCACTCACCTGTGGAGTGGAGCCTGAGCAGTGCGTGTTGCCTTCTGACACACTCCCAGTGATGCCAGGGGGTGTGGCATATGCAAATGAGTTATGCTAATGAGCTCCTGCACCTCTTTTTCTACGAAATTACCCCTTCTCATAAAACATTTCATGCTTGAAGCAGACTGTGAAAACAATTTTAAAAGGTCAACCTCTTAACTAAAATCCTGGGTAAAAAGAACCATTTTGTCTTGGAGTGCGCGTAGGCTCAGGCAACCCTTGAGAGGAAGGGTACTCCAACCAGTGCCACCACTGAAAAACCCTCAGGACTTGTGAGGAGTATCTTAACTGGTAGTCTGAACAGTACAAATGGAGGTGGTCCTTCAGGTCTCCTGGCCCAAAGTCATTTAGGGCCTTAAACCTAAGAACCAGAATTTGAATTGTGCCTGGAAACAGATTGGCAGCTGGTGCAGCCCAAACTGTTATTTCCCACAATGAACAACATACGGAATCTGCTGGCAAAAAAATGTGATGGCTACTAGCTTAGCTGAATTCTAAAAGGGAATCAGACAACTTTAGAGTGGTCAGTCTGTCGACAGCTGTTAACCAGGATGCCTGAAATGAAACCTCCATGTTCAATATCAGTTGCTGGGGGGCAAACAGTAGGGCAGGCAGTTATCCTCATATCCTGTTTTTGGGCTTCTTGGAAGTGCTTTGCTGGTCACTGTTGAAAACAGGATGCTGGAATAGTTGGTCTTTTGATCGGATCCAGCAAGCCTGCCCATTTTACTGTTGTATTTTACTGTTTTCCTTCCTTCTTTAAAATGTGTTGATGTGCCTATAACAAAGCACTATAGCTAGAAGAATTAAATCAGATTTGTAGTATAATATTCAAAAGATTGCCCTATTCAAAGGGTCATTGGAATGCCACATAAATCTATCTCTCTACTGCCTTAACTCTGTTCCTGAGAAACTAGCCCACATATCATCAATAGACACGTCTAGGCGTCGCAAGGAAATGACTGTACAGATTTTGACCCAGGTAAACTTCCTTTTCTACACAACAAAGATGCAATATTTAGAAAAATTTATGGTGTACTAATACAGGCTTGCATATACACTCCTACATTATACATTCTTACATTACTAGTTTTTGGTAACTTGACTTGTGTTGGTGTCGTTTCTCTCCTTGGAGCAAAGTAAATTGCATGTCCCCAAAGTGCTGGTCAAGAGTAGAGTGGATCACAAGGGCTGGGGTGGAGAAGAGGTTAATAAGCTGACTTCTTGCTAACACATCATGGTGAATTCTTTCAAGAGAAGGATCACAAGGCATGTGTAGATCTGCTGAGCTTTCACCTGTACCCTCAGAAAATCCTTGTAGAATACTGACTGAAATAATTTGCAAGAGCATAGTGAACTGATCCAGGGGTCATTTCATAGAAAAAGAGGTGCAGAAGCTCATTAGCATAACTTATTAGCATACCTTATTTGCATATGCCACCACCACCCCGACATCACCGGAAGTGTGTCAGAAGGCAACACCCACCGCTCAGGCTCCACTGGACTGTTTTGGATTGCTAGCTATTGGGGGGGGGGGACATGCAGATCTGTCCTCACAGAGGAGGGAGAGCTTGTACCTGAATAAAACTTGGTCTTAAAGGTGCCACTGTACTGTTTTGGATTGCTAGCTATGGGGGGGGGGGACACGCAGATCTGCCCTCACAGAGGAGGGAGAGCTTGTACCTGAAGGCGGGCCGGGGGGGGGGCTCTGCAACTTACCTGGCTGCTTCTTGCTCCTCGTGGCCTGACTGAGGGGTGCAGGGGGCAGGGCTTGTTGCATGTGCCCACCCCCTGGGCTCCTTACTGCCAGAGCTCCGCTCCTGTGTGCTCCCGCAGGAAATGACCCCTGAACTGATCTATCTTAGAACAAAAGCTGTCAGTGGCAATCCACAATTAGGTTTTGCTATCAAGAGAACAAAAATGTGTAGTCTCTACGACTTTATTTCATAATTGCTCTAAAAGTAGCAGGTATGGATAGGCAGTATAGAGATTTGCTTTAATGGACTCTTGTGAGTTGGTGTCAGTAATCTTGTTGGAAAATTAACATATGTCACAGCAGCTATGTAATAAGAGAGGCTGTCAGAGGAATCAAATGCTAGACTTAAAAGCTGACGTGACTCACTGTGCTAATCATGACTCCTGGATTCATGCTTTCTGAATTCAAGAAAGCTGGATTTAGAAACGAAGAATGAGGATGGTTTTACCATGACGGAGACCCCTCTTTAAGGCTATGGCAGGGAGAAAAATTGAAAAAAGAGTGAAGGGAAAAGAGACAGAGGGAAATTTCGCAGGCTCCTTCAAGGTGTATGTGAACTTATCCAGTGGCTGGAGTCTGTCTCTGAGCACTGTGAACTCTGAAATTACACATCCTCTCAGACTACTGCTTACAAAGCTAGGGATGTTCTAAGGCAGGGGTCCCCAACCTTTTTGAGCCTGTGGGCACCTTTGGAATTCTGACACAGCACGGTGGGTGCAGGCACAAGATGGCTGCCACAGGAGGCAGAGCCAGCCACGCAATGGCTGACACAG